CTGAGGAGAAGCCACATGGACCTACCCTGATGCAGCCCTGGGTGCTGGAGCAGCCGTGTGGAGACCCCTGCCAGTGCTGAGATGCTTACACGCTCACTGATTCTGCTTTCCTCTTGCAGGCAGCATCATAGTATGTGTTTTGTGAGATGGAGGAGGACTTTGTGGATTGGTGTTGGGTTAATGTTGGACTTGTGGGCTTGGGCAGCACTGAGTTGGGCTGTTTTCTTGATGTGCACTTAACTTTTATATAAAACTCTATTGTATACATGAGTTTCTCTAAAGTACCCAGACTAACAAAGGGTACTCAAAACTACTGACCAAACCATTCACTCCCTCAATTTCTTTTCCCATTCTCCAAACCACCTCCTTAGAATCATTCTTTTCTTTTCATGTCACCTGTTTAGTTCTCTCTTCCACCTTCCCTAAGGCTTAGACAATAGGGTCTCCTACTTTATCGAGGAAAAATGGTCCCATCACTTAGTGATTTTTTTTAGGACAAACACATTAATTTGTTAACCAAAGGGATGATCCTAATTAAGTCAATACTTTGAAATAATTGTATGTAAAAAGTCTGTCATAGAAGCAATTGAATATTAGAACAACAAAAGCAGTATGGTGATTTGCTCATTGAACCGAGCTTGTTCATTCTCACAGTTAATTCCTGTGTAATGATGGGAGTTTTCATTCTACTTTTTCCTAGGTCCAAGTACCGGTGACTTTGTTCATAATACACTCTACCATTAACCTTCTGTCTTCGTTTTCTTGTTCCTGGGCTCTCCTTCCCACCCCCTCCTGGGGTTGGACCAACGTGTCATCGGTAAAGTTGCAGACAGTCTTGAGTTTTTCTGGCATCAGCTGTAGTGTCTTCAACTTTTCACCTGGGTTTCGAGGACACTGTGTTGTTCTCAAAGCACTCTCGGTTTCCATGGGGACTGTTTTGCCATCAGTAGAGATGAGGACACAGGGAGGCTTGGCCATTGCACTCAGTTTTCTCAGGGCCATTCCCACTCCCGGTTCCTTCATGTTCCCATCAAAGCCTTTGCTGACTACCGGTCGCCACCTTCCTATGAGCTGCTCAGTGGTGGCCATGGTGGGCTTGGACAAGCAGGTGTGCAGAGAGGGCAGAGGGAAGGCCAGTGACAGAGCAAGGAGTGCCTCCACCACTTATAATGACTGCCCGCAAAGTCCTACCCACGAACTTTTGCCTACATCCACACACACTGTCACCTCCTGTTCCAGGCGAATCCTTGATCTTGGGTTCTTAAATTCACTTCCTCCTGACTGCTCCTTTTAGCGTATGTAAGTGAATGCATGTAGAATGAAAATATATTTTAAAATGCCTACCAATCTTCCTACTTTTGTCTGAAGTCAAAATATGTAAAATTATATTGGAAAAGTGAACTCAGTAATGGCAGCCAGTTGACGTTTGCTTGGAAACTAGTAAGATTAGAATCCAAAAAGTTTCTAGTGTTCAGCACAAACTTAACTAGTTTCACTGCTTAACGGCATCGCATAGACAAGATGCACAAGTGAATGCCTGTTGTCATATGCCTTGTGTTCAAACAAGGAAATGAGGAGAATTGGCATCCATTAGCTAAGCAAGTCCAAATAATCCAAACAAACCAGTTTAAATACTACTGTGTTAATGCTTTTTCTAAAAAGTAATGATGTCTTAGAAACTTTAAAAATTTTTAAGGAAAAGAAAAAAAGTATTGCCAACTGTTATACTTGGCCAAGTCACTTAACTGCTCTAAGCTTTAATTGCCTCATCTGTAAAATAGGAATAATAATCATGCCTGCACAGGTTATTGGAAAGACTAAATAATTTCATATGTTCATGTTAATGCTCAGCATAGTACCTGACAGAATGTACCCCTAGAGAGTGTGTCTAGAATGTAATACTGGAATATTAAATCCAGGTTAATTACCAGGATTGAGGGTGAAAGTTAAATACAAACAAAAACTTGGAGGGGATTAAAAATGCAATAGGAGGAATACTTTCACAATGTCCATTTCAGTTCTGAAAAGACAATTAAGAAAGCGAAATATTGGGTATATTATAGATTTGAACATGGGAAATATCAGAAATTTAAAATATAGACAATTCCACAGGAATTACAGATCATAAAGTTAACTCAAAAAAGCTGAACTCCCTCTGGGACATGGGGGTACAGTGAATGGTGTGACCCTTTGCCTGGGCATGCCCACACGGTAGGGTATACTGGGCCCCTCTAGGGTTTCCCGTAGGGGCTCCAATACATTTCTTCCCTTTTGCTTTAAACAAACAAGCTGAAAAATAAGGCACAGCGACCAAGCAAAAACTCACTTAGAACCAAAATTACCCAGATTAGCCACGGAAAGCACTGGCCTAATGCATTAATTTATGAAGAAAGAAGTCATTTTATCACTGAAAACGAAAAGCCAATGGGAATATATTTTCATGAGGGATGTGTAGTGGGCTAAATAGTGTCCTCCCTAGAATTCATGTCCACTGGCACCTTAGATTGTGACCTTATTTGGAAAGAGGTCTTTGCAGATGTCATCAATTAGTGACTGAGATGAGACCATAATGGACCAGGTGGGCCTTAAGTCTAATGATGGATATCCTTAGAAGAAGGCAAAAAAAGGCACGCAGAAGCAGACATGTGAACACAGAGGCAGAGAATCTGGTGAGACAGCTGTAAGCCAAGGAAGTCCAAGGATTGCCTGAAGGGAGAGAGAGGCAAGGTACTCTCCCTTAGAGACTTTTCAAGTAGCTGGCCCTGCTGACCCCTTAACTTCACACTCCTGGCCTTCTGACCTAAGAGAGAATAAACTGCCATTATTTTAAACCACCCAGTTTATTTTGTTAAGGCAGCTCTAGAAAACTACTACAGAAGATAAGGAATAAATGCACAGAATAGAACAATAAACATTAATACTTATTTAAGTATTCATTAGGAGGTGTGGTGGCAAAGTGGTTAAAATGGTTGGCTACTAACCTAAAGGTTGGTGGTTCAAACCCATCAGCTGTTCCTTGGGAGAAAGATGTGGGAATCCGCTTCTGTAAAGAAGTCTCCAAAACTGGGTGGTTCTACTGTGTCCCATAGGGTTGGTATGAGTTGGCATTGAGTGGGGGCATTGACTGTGTGACTTGTAAATGCACTGCACTCCAGTCTAGTTGCACTCACTCTTAGTCTATGAAGGAGACGTGATTATCCCTAGATTGTAGAGCAGGATGCTTAGATAAGAAGTTAAGGGGTGTGCTTAGGTAATTTGGCTCCAGCACCCATACTGTCTCTCATATGACAGCCTAGGAAACATATATTAAAAATAAGTTCATAGTTTAAAAAACATTTAAATTAAGGAATTAGATAAATCACACACCCCCCCCAAAAATTAAAAAGACAGTGAAAAATGCCATAGAATCTATTCATTTGGCAGTTGGGTTCTTTTCCCATAAAATGTGGAGAGAGAGAGGTCTGAAGACAACATGTGAGAAATCAGAGCAAGGAAGGCCACAGGAGGAAAACAGAATCGGCAGATGGGAGATGTGGGAATTGGGAGCAGCAATGAGACACAGATGGCTTGCTGTGTTCTGTCAGTGGAAGGAGCGTACAAAAAGGACAGGAGAAGAGCTTGCTCGGGAGAGGAAAACAAGCTTCGTGTGAATTCCCTTGTACAACCTCACAGGTTTGGTCCATACTCACTCATGTTTGGTTCCTTTCCCAACTCACCTGACTCTCTCAGTCACTTAATGAGAAAGAAGTCTGTTTGAATGTTGTACCTGCTGTGGCATCTGGATCTTCTCCCTGATGAAGCTTCTTCAGTTTCTTACTAACCAGCTCCAATAATGTAACAGGTGTCTACATAAAAACAGGCATTTTCAAATACTTAATATGAATTCTTCCTATTCAGGAATCTAAGAGAAAATCCTCAGTGTGTTTGACCACGGAGCAGGGGAAGACAGGTGGTATCAGATAAAGAGGGACAGCGGAAGAGGATCTCTGAATAGCTGAACATTTTCAGGAATTCTTTAAAATTCCATCTTCTTTCAGGTTACCTCCCATCGAGTCGGTTCTGCTATGGCTGCTAACAACAACACGACAACACAGCATCTGAAGCTGGCTCAGCCAACCATCTAGGACGTTCTCCCGTAGCAGTAAAAATGGTCGCAGTAAAAATGGTCGGCACGTCTACCCTATCCCTGGTCTGAATGACCTTACACTGGAATTCCCTGGTCCAGGTGTCAACATCAGTTGCTGTCTGGCCCACGCTGGCTCATAATGACCCCACAGGATGGAGCATAGCTGCCCCATGGCGCTTCCACGGCTGCAGTCTTCAGAGAAGCTGCCTGGGCAGCTGAGGGCTCTGAGTGACGGCCCTTTCCCTTTCAGTTCGCAGCCGAGCGCTTAAACACCGCACCACCAGCGCTCCTTCCACACGGAAACAGTTTTAAAAACAACTCCAGACTCATTGCCATCAGGTCGATGCTGACTCCCAGTGACCCTATAGGGCAGGGTAGAACTGTCCCTTTGAGTTTCTGAGACTAACTCTTTCCGGGAGAAGAAAGCTTCGTTTGTCTCCCAAGGAGCTGCCCGTGGTTTCAAACTGCTGACCTTACGGTTAGCAGCTTCAGCACATAACCATGACGTCCTAAGGGCTCCTTATGCAGTGGTTCTACAATACATTCAAACACTATTCTCTTAAAACCGGTAAACGTTCCATTTCCACTTTGGGCTCTACGGAAGGGGATCATTCTGGGTTACAGCGCGCATCAGCTCGGGCGACCGCGGTCCTCCCGCAAACCATGCTGAAGCCCATGCTGGAGCCCATGCTGGAGGGCGAGCTCTTCCCCGGGGCCGGGAGCCTCCCGACCACCTTCTACCTGCCGCCCACTTAACCAGCAAACTGCCCCATTAATTCGTCCTGCCAGTCGATCAATATCTAGGGAGTGACTACTGGATGCTAGGCACTGTTCGAGGTGAGGAATAAACAGAGAAAATGCCTGAACTCGGCGCCGCCTCCTTCTGGCCAGGAACCCTGACCGGCGTCTGGCTCCGCACCGCACCTGGGCACCGAGCCGCGGGCGCTGCGCAGCAACCACTGCCAGCTCCGGCCAGGAAAGCCTGTCGGTCCCAGCGGCGTGCCGCGGCCACGGGCCTGCAGAAAGCAACGACCCGCGCTCCAGTTCTTTAAAGCCTTCGGAGTCCTCAGGGCAGGGCGGATCCAGGGTGTGCTGACCCGGAGAGCAGACGGGGCCCTGGGTGCCTTCATTTATGCTCCCAAGAGCTGTGAAACCGGGAAGCAATCCCGGAGCTGGCGCGCAGTCCACCAAGCTGAAAGGCGCCAATGGCTCCAGCGAGTGTTGGTGACTCTTACAGGGCTTCACCCCCTGGAGAGAAGGCTAATGGAACTGGAGCATGGAGCAATAAGGGCGGGGTCGGAAGCCTCAGTCTAGAACAGGGTTGGGCAGACTTCTGGGAAAGGGGGAACCAATCCTGTCCCTCACAAAAGTTTGGAGATCTGACGGTCATACACATATTTTTGCAGACAAATGAGATCACCATTGTCTGAATAATATCTTTAAATGAAACAAACAAAAAAAGTTCCTGAATTCATAATTATTTTCTTATTGGACTAAATATCATTCTTAAATCAGGAAACTTAATTTTAGGTAGTGGCCAACGCCCTTAAGAGAACAGCAGGGTGAGGTGGCCAGAGGGATGGAGGTAGGGATTGAGCCTGGGGAGCTAGGGAAGGCCTATTTCCTAGGGGACATCTGAGAAGTCTGAACAGGAATGAGAGGTCGAAGGATTCAGGGGAAAAATGGGGTACACAGAGACCAGCCTGCCTGTAGCAGGAACAAACATGACAAGCACACCCCCTCATCATGACACCCCAATCTTGGCTTCCTGGACCAAACCTCACCCATGATCCATTGGGTCCCAAACGGATTTGGCCTACTGCCCCCTTTTCAGAAAACAAATAAACAAAAACCCACTGTCACTCTGGCCATTAATGTACTCTAGCCCATAGCCCAGGGTACCGTGTTGGTATCGGCTTTGGTGTGCCCCCTGGATCATTCTCTCACCCTCACAGGGGCGGCCTTACCCATTTGGGGAAACACTGTGGCCTGACCTTTGCGGACTGGTCATCGAGCCTCCTCACTGCTTCCTGAACCCACAACCCCATGCTGCCAACGTCCTTTTCTGCCTTGGCTACCTAAGTGATTGCTGCGTCTAACATGAGGAAGAGATAGAAAACTGGGGCTGGGGGAAGTCCTTTCTAACTCCTGGGGCATATTAAGGAAGAGGCAACCTCACTTACCCAGACACAGGGTGACAGTGAAGAATGAAGACAGGCTGAGGGGCAAGAAATAGGAGAGAGGGTGTGTTTTCTCCAAATTTTTAGCTGGAATCTATGACCCATGCTAGCAAGTAAATATATGTAAGTATTTTATTCTAGCCACTATAGAGTTAAATATTTATATAACCTGAGCCCAAATCTCCATTCATGTCTTTTTAAATGAAAACCTAGGTGCAGAGCAGCTAGCAACTGGCTTACAAACAAGCTTTTAGAATGGGCTTCATTCAAAATTCATGAACGGGAATTGCCTCATCTATCTTTAGTACACCAGCAACCCCCACCCAACTAAACACACGTTTTTTTCCCTTGATAATGGAAATGAAACTTCAGTCAAGGTATACAGACAGGTACTAAATGGAACCAGTATGTTTATTACAGCAAAAAATAAGAAAAGAGAAGGAGGGAGGAAAAGGAAGAAAGAGAGAGAAGCCATTTTTAAAAACAGAATTTTGGAGAAGGAACACCTTACAAAAGGAGCCCTGGGGGTGTAGTGGTTACACAATGGGCTACTAACCTCAAGGTCTGCAGTTTAAAACTACCAGCGGTTCCCCAGGAGAAAGATGAGCTTTCTGCTCCCCAATAACAGTTATAGTTTTGGAAATCCAGAGGGGCAATTCTAGCCTGTCACTTTGGCAATTCTCCCCCCCCCAACTCACAGACTCGCATCGATTTGATGCAGTGAGATGAACGAACACCTTACAAATATTTATACAACTATCTGCTACTAAAATAGGGTAGTAGGCTGAAAACAATTTTTTTCTAAAGTGTTTCCAAATTCTGTATGTGCAGTATTTTTACTAATCCTACTATGACCTCTCTGTTTGAAGTCACCATTATCTCTTGCCTGGATTATTCCATCAGCCTCCTGAAAGGTACCCCCCTCTCCTCCTTGCTCCCCTAGAGTCTGATCTCAATATATGTCAGATTTATCAGATTGAAATGTCTGCCAGATCATGTCACAGCTTTGATCAAACTCTCCAATGATTCCCCATTTTATTCAAAGAAGCAAAGCCCTTCCACTGAACTACATGACCCTGGCTGTGACTTACCCATCCACTCTCACCTCTCTGACGGTACATCATCTATTCTACCCCCAACCCCCATCTTTTGTTCTGCCTCAAACCACTGCCTGCACCCCATTCCTTCAGGCCTTGCACATGACAGGTACTCAGTCCATCCCCACAACTGTCTCATCCTTCCAGTCTTCCCTTAGATCTCACGTTACAAGTGAGCCCCAGCTTGAATACCCTACTAATCACTATAAGATGCTTTTCATTTCCACCCTGCTGTTATTGTGAGGTGCCATCGAACCAGATCTGACCCACAGTGACCCTATGCAAACAATGAAATACCGCCCGGATTTGTGCCACCCTCCCGTTTGTTTCTACGCTTGAGCCCACCCTAGCACCTGTAAATCCCCTACCCTGCTTGGGTGTTTCTTTTTCCTGTTGCATTTATCACATCTACCTAACTTCAGGAGTCTCTGGGGTGGTACAGTGATGTGCTCAGCTACTAACTGAAAAGTTAGAACATAGGTTTCCAAATTTATTTGGCCTAGCACCCCCTTTTCAGGAAAACAACAGCAAAAACTCAGCTCCCCTAGCAATTAAAAACTTTGGTCCTGTTGCCCATAATCCCGGTGAAAGGGTAGTTATCTATCTACTTTTGCAGTTGCTCTGGATCATTCCAGTGCTCCCCACTCCCCAGGGGCCGTATCACCCCTCTGGGAGACATTGGGTCAGAGACTTGAGTCCATCCAGAGGTGCCTCAAAAGAAAGGTCTGGCAATCTACTTGGGACAATTACAGCCATTGGAAACCCCATGGAGCACACAGTTCTGCTCTGCCCTACACAGTCGCCAGGAATCAGAATCAATTCAGTGGCAACTGATTACCAAACCAGTTGACCTAATTAGTTAGAATTTCTCATTGTCTGTCTTCCCCGAATTGGATGTAAGCTCTTCAAGGGTCCAGCCCTCTGTTTTGTTCACTGGTGTATTCAAAGTACCTAGAACAGTGCCTGTGACATAGTGCTACCCAGTAACTGGGCTGAAGAAACAGATGAACATCCTTGTCAATACTGAAATTTCCTTCAAGCCTTGAACACTATAGGTACTCAGTACATTATTTATTAAGTGAATATGTTTTGCCTTTTTGCTTGACAGAAATAGATCAGTAAATGGGTGGAGGCAAAATGCCAGAGGTACCTTGAAGAGCTCAGAGTGATGCTCCAGTAGAAAGTGGGCTAGTTGTTCCGTCTGCACTCTTAATAACGATCTGCTTTGCACAAGTGCTTTGGTAAGAGTTTTCAGGATGACTGTTGTGTTGTCACACTGTAAGCAGAAAGTAGAGTTACATGAGTTTGAGACATTTTTCAAGGAGAGCGTAACATAACATTGAACAACAACAACAAACTACTGTTAATGTGTTTTCTTGCCTGTTTTTGGAGCTGGTAGGCATGAGGTTCTGATGCAACAGCCATAAAAGTAAGTAGCCGCCGTAATTCTTCCCTAACAGCGGGTGACACTAACCTCAGATACAGCTGGGTTGCTTCCAGCGCTTCTGTTCTCTTCCCATTTTCTGTCACACGGGTCACAAAGACAAAATGGGGCGAAATGGAGGGTGTGATAGTGACTTTGATTTGGGTGTTATTTTCGACAAGTAAAGAATTATGAAATATTTCAAACACACAGAAAATTATCTCGTAGGATAATATGTCAAACAGCTGTTTAATAACATGCAGTTTTATCAAATAGTATTCGGTTTTTCACATGAAATTAGGGCGACCACTTGCATAGATTATTAAAAAAAATATCATGATATTATGTCACTTGATTTTTATTTTGCTAAAAGGTCATTAATAAATCAGAAAGTCATGATTCCAGGTAGCTCATTCCTCTTATCCTTATTCTATATCAAGATATTTCTGATTGTCCCTGTGATGTATTGTGCCTTAGATTTAATGACTTATGCTACATTAGTAAATTTGATAATACTAGACTAATTATCAAATTTAAATGACATTAATAATAGTGGATCGAGAAACAAATTCCATGAAATATCTAAATATTATAGAAGAAAATTATTAACTTGTTACTAATCATGAAATATTCATAATATGCTACAATTCATATATGTATTAAAATGTATTAGGCAGAAAATCAAAGTTCAAACATTTTTTCTTACCTAGAAGTTCAATAATTCCTGAATGAACATCGAAATATTCATCAGTTAACAGGCAATCTTTCCCTTGATTATAATATTTTACTATGACATCAAACAGTATTTTCTTCTGAATATTCAGTTTTGTCTCTTTATGTGTGTTTTGTAGTATCTGCTGACTGACCGTAACTATCAGCTGGTCGGGGAAATATTCCAAGCATTCAATTGCTGCATTGAGCCAATTATCAATCCTGGAGGGGAAATGTTTAAAACAGACACAAACAAATCAGTGGCTGACATCTATCTGCATTTAATTGCAGAGAACATAGTATCATATAACAAAAAAATGTGGCTTCTATTTAACAAAATCTACAGGAGAAATACTTTTGAAGGAAGAAATACAATAAATTTAGCTAGGTAAATGATGGAGTGAATGAGAGGGAATGACACTTCTCCCCACCAAATACCACCACACCAGTAATGTATTTTTATTTTCAGGCAGTCACAAATATAGTTGTCTACCTTTTTATTGCACATTTTAAAATTCAGTAGTGCTTTTCTATTCCATGAGTGGGTCTCCTCCCCTCTCTGATTCACGAACTTTTGCTCACTGCCAGGGAGTGGATTCTGGCTCATGTGGCCCAAAGGACAGAACTTCCCTTGTTGATTTCCAAGACTGTAACTCTTTTTAAAATTTCTTAAAAATCATTTTATTGGGGGCTCTTACAGTTCTTATAACATTCCATACATCAATTGCGTCAAGCTTTTTTTTGTACATATGTTGCCATCATCATTTTCTAAGTACTTTCTATTTGAGCCCTTGGTATCAGCTCCTCTTTTTTCCCTCCCTCCCCCTCATCTTTCTCTGAAGGCGCAGCTGAGGTTTAGAACTTATGATCTCCTACTATTTGAGAACAAGAAAGCACTCTCCTATCAGAGATGCGCTGTTTCTCTGAGACACACTGCTTTCCCTTTTCTTAATCCCTTCACCCCAATGAGACAGTTGGGACCCTCCCTCCACTGCCTCTGGAAAGCCTTGCATTCTCTTTCTCCACATCTACCCTACCTTTTCCAGATTTGGGTTAGTATTTATTGCAACAGTATGTCCCTTCTGTTTCAAGGTTTTATCTAGCATGCCTTAGAGGAAACACTGGATTGATGCACCATTAAAATAGAAAGATATTGGGTTAGTCTGAGTACTTTAGATAAACAAATCCACTACAACTCATGTCTGAGAGACTTTTA